TGCAGACCACGGGACGCGCCCGCTCACTGCTGCTCAGCTCAAGACCACCAACTGGTTTTCAGGGCCTTCGCTACTGGTAAAACCACGGAATGATGATACTGAGCAGAAAAGGTTTGAGTTAGTGGAACCAGACACAGACCAGGAGATCCATCCGGTTGTCACAACATTAAGTACAAATGTGTCAGAGAACAAGCTCGGAGCTAGCAGATTTGAAAGATTTTCCACTTGGAAATCATTAGTCCGAGGAGTTTCAAGTCTAATCAAAAGAGCAAAGACCTTGACTAACAATCAGGAAACACAAGCAAGCAGAAGTAATTACAGTGCTCAAGCAATTACAGTGATCATAAAAGCTGTACAACAAGACTGTTTTGCAAGGGAACTCAAATGCATTTCAAAAGGTGAACAACTCCCAAAACAAAGTCCACTGAAAAAGTTAACTCCATTCCTTGACAAAGAGGGATTAATAAGAGTACGTGGACGAACCTCTTCTGCAGAACTGTGTTTTGAGGAAAAACCCCCTCTTATCATCCCAAAGAGTCACATTGCCACTCTATTAGTAACACATTATCACGAGCAAGTTGCCCACCAGGGGCGCCACTTCTCTGAAGGAGCTGTAAGATCAGCAGGGCTATGGCTGATTGGAGGAAAGAGACTTGTGTCCAGCGTAATTCACAGATGTATCGCCTGTAAAAAGCTAAGAGGCAAACAAGAAATGCAACAAATGTCGGATTTGCCCTCAGACAGACTAACTCCTGAGCCACCCTTCACGCGAGTAGGGCTGGATGTTTTTGGCCCATGGACTGTGATCTCACGCAAAACCAGAGGAGGTCATGCTGAAAGTAAAAGGTGGGCCATCATCTTCTCTTGTCTCAGCAGCAGAGCAGTTCATATTGAAGTAATAGAATCCATGACAACTTCAAGCTTCATAAACGCATTGAGACGTTTCACTGCACTGAGAGGGCCTATCAAAATGCTGAGGTCAGACAGAGGAACGAACTTTATAGGAGCATGTAAAGAGCTTAACTTTAACTCAGATGATCCGGACATAAAAACTTACCTGCAGGACAACAAATGCACATGGACGTTCAATCCTCCCCACTCGTCCCACATGGGTGGAGTATGGGAGAGAATGATTGGCATTGCAAGACGTATTTTGGAGGGTCTTTTACTCAAAACAAACATGCCATCGTTAACCAATGAAATGCTTATCACTCTAATGGCAGAAGTTACTGCTATAATGAACTCAAGACCATTGGTTCCAATATCCTCAGACCCAGAATCACCAGCAGTCCTCACACCATCTATGCTGTTAACTCAAAAGATGGACTCACTTTCTGCACCCACAGGGGACATGCAGGACCTTTCACACAAACACTGGAAAAGAGTACAAGGACTAGCAGACGCATTCTGGAAGCGATGGAAGATGGACTACCTTACAACATTACAACCCAGAAGGAAATGGAGTACTGAAAAGGACAATCTACAAGTTGGAGATGTCGTACTGGTCAAGGATGCCCAGGCTAAAAGAATAGACTGGCCTCTTGGACTTGTGGTCAAGGCTTTGCCTAGTCACGATAATAAAGTACGTAAGGTTGAAGTGAAGGTGTCTAAGCAGGGTATACCTAAAGTCTATCTAAGACCAATATCCGACGTGATCTTGTTGTTTCGTAAAGAAGCTGTTTAATGGTCTGGTATTAGTGGTATAACACATTATACCAGGCGGGGAGTGTGCTGTCTCCTAAGGATTTTTTCTATTTGTAGCGCAGTTCTGCCCCCTTGTGGCGAGTCTGTTCAACCTGTTGTTAAAAGAAGGAATTTCTTCGGTTAGTTTCTATATTGTATGCAAAGCAGTCAGGCAGGGATTACGGTGGATCTGCTAAGAAAATATCTTCCACGGAGCTTTTGGGAGCATATGCCTGTAAGTTTTCATTTTGTTGATGTGTTTTGTAATGACAGGTGTAATGTTTCAGTGTAGTTTTATGCCTAACGGCCGCTATAGTTATGCTAATTTATGCTAATTAGCTGCGGTTAAGCTAGCGGACTTTAGGGTGTTTATTTTACTTATTTCTGCAAGTAGATAATACTGCAGCTGTATTTTTCTGTTACAAATATGTACAAGCTACGTTTTTGACTCCATTTTTAATGCAAATACTGACTTATACTGTTTTTTATGTCTGTTTATTTGCAGTTTTACAAAATTATTATTGGCTGAAGCAATAAACATGACAGAGTCATTCAGCATTGTCTTCACGTCAAGTCTGTTCGCTATCTGCTAAACTACACACTACATACGTTTAGTGAGGGCAGAATACTGACCATGTCCATCCCTTTATGACCACAATGTACCCAACTTCTGATGGCTACTTTCAGCAGGATAATGCGCCATGTCATAAAGCTGGAATCATCTCAGACTGGTTTCTTGAACATGACAGTGAGTTCACTGTACTCAAATGGCCTCCACAGTCATCAGATCTCAATCCAATAGAGCATCTTTGGGATGTGGTGGAACGGGAGATTCGCATCATGGATGTGCAGCCGACAAATCTGTGGCAACTGTGTGATGCCATCATGTCAATATGGACCAAACTCCCTGAGGAATGCTTCCAGCACCTTGTTGAATCTATGCCACGAAGAATTGAGGCAGTTCTGAAGGCAAAAGGGGGTCCAACCCGTTACTAGCATGCCGTACCTAATAAAGTGGCCGGTGAGTGTATATATATATATATATATATATATATATATATATATATATATATATATATATATATATATATATATATATAGTCAGATATGTTTCTGGATTTTCTTTTATTTCACATTAGCTGAAAGGGTTTAATAACAACCAAAGGCAAAACTGACAAATATTTTAGAAGATTTTTACACAGCAGAAGCAAACCAAACAATGACTTCATAATTTTTTTAACAATATACAATAGGTCCAAAACAGTTCACCAAGTTTTTTATAATAATAAATACTATAACTATGTGTCAGATGCACAACACTCTTATTTTATTTGTTAACCTCTTACACCCTAAGGGGGTATAAATAAATTTCTGCCTGACAAAAACACACAAAAGTAAATAACTTATAGCCTCAAAGCTATTAGATTTAAGTCTGTAAAGGTAAGATGTCATAGAATGGTTTTCTGGTGTCAGCACCATTGTAGCTTTGACCCTGCCTGAAATATTAGGGACAAAATACAAAATATTTTGCATTTTTTGCACCTCGCCAAAATTTTCTTTGAAATAAACATTGCAAAACACTACCAAAATATTATTTATAGCACAAAAAAGTAGTACAGACTTTTAAATCTAAATGTTGTGTAAAAATATACCAAATTTGGACTCAATCAGATGAATCATATTTATTTTAGAATGGTATTAGTGAGAAATTTCTTAGGCGGAGAGGCCATTTTGGCACATTTATCCATAAATGTCACCAAACTGTGCCAAATATGTTTTTTACATCAATACTGGGGGTTTGGTAAAATTACGAGGTCACGTAGCAGCTGGACCCGCCGGTGGGTCCGTAGGGTTCAAGGGGTTAATAACGGAAAACCTTTGCTTCTCTTTACAATCGATCGTTAAAATCTGAATCACAAACAATAATCACATTCTAAAGGTTTCTAAACCATGTCCTGACACATTTGAAAATATAAATAACATGAGCTGGTCAACAAAGATTGTCCTTAAAGTGATGGATATTCTTGTGTTTTTTTCGACAAGTTCACTCTGAGTGGCTTGGAGATCTATAGATGAAACAGGTTTTAAATGTCGAATATTTACAACCAATCTCACATAAGGAAGGAACTAAAAATACATGTTAAACTTTTTAAACAATCACTACAGCAGATAAACATGCAAAACAAAAGTACTCTTCCTTTAATGTCACTATGGGCCGGATCTATCAAAGGTTTGCGTGTATAAAAACGTGAACTATTTCACTGCGCACGCTAAAAAATGTACAAACTGATCTATCAACAGCGTGCTAAAAGGATTTGGTCTTTAAAACATGCTAAATAGCGCCTCTTATCCATTTAGTACTTTTTCTGCAATGAATATGCAATATGGGGCGTTTACACGCAAAAGTGCGTCTTGTGGGAGGAGAACATGTAAATATATTAATTTAGCACTCGCAAAGTGATTTATTAAACCTGAAAGCAATTTTGCTAACGGTATCTGACTCTATATTTAACACTTTTCAAAAGAAGGTGCAAATGGTCTGTATGCGTAATTGCGCACACATGGCAGCGGTTATTGTCGCAAGAAGGAGACATCGAAATGAAGCAAGGAGACGCAGAGAACGCATTTTTTCACTCCGTATGAATATTTTTGCAATGAAGGAGGAAACGATCATGAAAACATAACGTTTATCCAGCATTGGAATTTTGGAGCTGTTGGGGGAAGTCAGAATGGATTTGGAGCCAGCCACAAGGAGGACCCACGCAATACCAGATATCACAAAACTCCTTGCAACATTGCACTTTTTTGCATCTGGGTCATTCCAGCGTACGGTTGCAGCGAGAGCTAGGATCTCCCAATCTCTTTTTTTCAGAAGTGCTGTCCGAAGTGCTGTCCGACGGGGTCGGGGTTCTCCCCCTGCGCCTGTGCAGCAACGTGCCAAATGCTGCGGGTATGCGTACGCGCAGCACACATATTCAGCCACATACCACCTTAGGGAATAAAGGTTGCCAAAGTTTTTTCTATATATATATAGATATAATTATTATTTTATTTTTTTGTTGTTGGGGGTCACTGTAAGATTTAAATTTCTTAATGCACTAGTTTGTACAAACTACTTTGCCGCAAACCACAAAACGCGCAAAACCATCATTTAAATAGGGCGTCTCCAACAGTTTTGCACCTGCCACCAGTTACGCAATCGCTCTTGTTAAATCACCCGCAAACCATGGTTCAGCCCCTCGCGCAAAATTCCAGTTTGCGAGCGCAAATTACTGCACGCAAAATTGGATCTTGATAGCCTAAATCCGGCCCTTTGTAAGCAATAAAAGCAAGTTAATATAATTTAAATTTCTCAAATTGTGCTGTTGCGTTTTAATTTTATGATTAAAGTGTAATAATAGCCAAAACAATATTCACACCTGCTTTACATCATGATAACGCTTCTTTTCTACTAAATTGATTGTTTAGCAAATAGTCCAATTGACTCAAAGGTAGTAGTCCTTGTAAAGCACACTGCTGCGTTTGGGTGACACAGGACTGCTTCAGACGGAGGTTACATTTGTGGTTGCACTGTTTTGGCTGTACAGGCGTCTGGGAGAGCTGCAGCACACCAGCTGATTCCTGAAGTGCTTGCTGAAACTCTTGCTCATCAGGTACAGAGCGAATGGGTTTATGCAGGAGTTGGTGAATGCCAAGATGCGTGCGCACACACTGGCAATGAAGTGAGCCAGAGAGGTGTCCACCTGGTCATAGTGGTAGGAGCGGTAAAGGTAGATGACGTGACTGGGGAGCCAGCAGAGAGCAAACAAGCCGACAAACACCAGCACGGTTTTGGCCAAACGCTTCCTGGACTTGATCTGAAAGGAGAAGAGGAGGGAGAAATCACATCATAATGTCTTCAATAGTTGTCTTACTATTTTAGCTTTAATCGGTTGTAATGAAATGTGTGGCTACCACCCTGAGCCTGAACTAACACTGCTGAAAATTGGTGCAATTTATTTTAATTGTTCCAATCAAATCCTTTTCAGAAAACATTATTCCTCTGAAAATCAAGCAGAGTAAGTAAGCAAATAAAGCCTACTACTCTGGTTTTAAAAAAATTGAACGAGTTTGGATACCTATGCATCATGGAAGATATGCATTGAAATCTTATTCCTAATTCATCAAGTAATGCTATAAATATACGAATTTAGGTTAAAATGGGTGATAAAGGCCTTTATGAAGATACATATTTCTATCTTCTAGTTTCTGCCATGAAGGCCAACTGAGCAAAAAAATAGCTGTTGAATCTACATGAAATCAGTTATTCAAGAAAACAAACAGAACATAACCCTGAACTGATCATTTCTATCATGAAATGTGGGGAAAGCTTTCCTTAGCAGAAGCAGATGTGAATGGCAGAGCTGAATGGAGGATGGATGGTTAAATTCAGAGATATTATGGAAAAAAACCTGATAGAGATTTACTTCCAGCCAAACCACTGCTCATCAAGAGCTCAGCTGTAGAGGTGGTCAGAAGCACCAAATTCCTGCAGGTGCACATAACAGACAACCTCACCTAGACTGTAAACAGCACGTCACTGGTCAAAAGGGCACAAATTTGCACGTACTTCCTGTGGAGGATGAGGAGAGCCCACCTGCACCCACCCACCCTCACCACCTTCTACAGAAGCACAATATAGAGCGTTCTGACCAGCTGTCTCACTGTGTGGTGTGGAGGCTGCAACAACACACATTGGAGACAGACACGGCAGAGAAGATCATCAGGGCTCTTCTCCCCTCCATAAAAGACATTTCATCCCCTGTTCGTCCCGAGCCCGTAACATTATAAATGACCCCCTACCATGGACTGTTCTCCCTGCTGTATGTTGAATAAAAAAAGGGGGTGGGGGGTGCTGATCACTGGAAAAACTGTTAATCATAACTCAGTGCTATGTTTACATTTGATCACTGTTACACTTTAAGAAAAGGAAATGTCTTGAGAGCTGTACTGAAAAAAGTTTGTCTAAGAATCTACAAAAGACTTCGGATTGGGGCAAATAAACATATATATATATATATATACTGTATATATATATATATATATATATATATATATATATATATATATATATATATATATATATATATATATATATATATATATATATATATATATATTGTTATTAATAGTTTTTGTAACATTTCCTGGAAACAAAATAAAAAATTACAAAGGCCTTTTTGTAGTTAACGCTTTTGAAACATGGTAAAATATCCAAGGAACGTTTAAATAGAGAAAAATTACCTTCTGTTTTAACATTCCCCACTGCCATCAGACTGTTGAACCTTTGATCCACAATCCGAACTCTGCACCTATTGCACATTATCGGGCATCAAATGCTGCTGAACTTTTAACTTTTAGCCCTTTAAATTGTTCATCTCATTGTATTTTTCAATAACACATTTTTTGCACAAATGCCATTTTGCACTGAACCACTGCAACTTGCACACTGTCTCTTATCCTCTGCACTGTTCACACTTTGACCACTGCTGCACTTTTTGTATTTTTCTATAACTCGTGCCATTGTGAAATATCAATGCAACGTTCATAAGCTGTATGTAACGCAATTTCGTTCTGTATGCACCCTGTGCATACAAAATGACAAATAAAGAAGTCTAAGTCTAAGTCTAAGTCTAAGTCTAACATTCAAGTCTGTTTCTCTTAGCCACTCTTTAGAATGGGAAAGACAAAAGAAGCAGAGGGATAGTTATAGATATTTAGGCCTCTGGCTCAACACTGCACTATATTTCACCTCTGATATACACTCTATTACAAAAAAAGGAACATATATTTTGTAGCATCTTTAGCATTTAAATATTTTGATTTTCTCACTAAGAAAACAGATTGCAATTACTACTTCCTATTTTTGATCGTTGTGATATAAATGATCAAAATACCACATCTACGTATCTCAAATTATTTAATGTTTTATAGAACTGGTTTTGAGGTTTATTCTTAGATACTCTTTGAGAACCTGCCCTTGTCTGTTGTACCAGCATTTGTCTTAGCTTGCTCCATACTCTAGACAACAATTTCACTGCTTATTATTACTCTGTTATCCTGATCATTAAAACAGCACCTGATGCAATTTAGCGCCTCATAAAGTATTGGACATGCAATTCAAAGTTGAAAAACGAGTAACAAAATTGGAAAATGTTAATTTAAACATAAAGCACCTTTTAATAGGAACAGTCCTCCATCTGCTTTCAGCTCGATAACTTCTGTTTATGCATTTAAGAAGGCCTTTTGCTAAACATTGTCTTTGTGTGTGTGTGTGTGTGCGCGTGTACCTGTCTAGCCCTCAGAGTGAGGACCATTTTTCCAATTTCACCTTCAAATTGAGGACCAGTTGTTGTAAAGTGAGGACATTTTATCCGGTCCCCGCATGCTATTTTACTAATGGTAAGGTTTAGGGCTAAGGTGTCGATTGGGTTAGGGTTACGGTGAGGTATGCATTGGCAATGGTTAGGTTTAGGGTTAGTTTTAGGGTTAGGACATAGAAAGGGTTGAAAATGACTGAAAATCAATGGAAGTCAAGGGGAGTGAACACAGGGTCCTCACCACGATGGTAGAACGAGTATGTGTTTGTGTGTGTATAAAATTGTAATTTTGTGTTAATGTCTAATAGAGTCTGTATATGAGCAATTTGTGTTTTGACGCAACGTGTGATTGGTTGTGTGTGCGGCGATTAGTTTAGGTATGCGTTTTCTTATATTTTTTATACAGCAGGATTCTTTTTGTTTATGTGTTTTATCATTTTTTTGTCTCTTTATTTGACATTTCATCTCAAGGTGCTCATCACTTCAAATCTAAATACTGTGATTAAAATAAACCTCAGTGCAAAGGATTTTAGTACCCTAAGTCAATTTAGTTAATTAAAAATGATCTGGTGATAAAGATTGAACACCTGCCTTTATTCATTTTTTATTTTGCTTCGTCTGGACAAGAAACCAATAAGCCTGCTGTGTTTATTGTGCCATTCTAAGTATTTTCTTATTTGGTAAATAAACTGAACCATTCAATAAAACATCCCCACCATGTTCTGATCCATACCTGTTTCTGCAGATGCAGATGTCCCTCAGCAGGGATTTCAGCTGAGCTCCTGATCAGACTGTTAGCGATGAAGAAGTAGTAAACAGAAATGATGAGTAGGGGGATGATGTAGAAGATGAGGAAGGAGGCAGTGGAGTGGATCTTTGGATGCAGCTCTCCAGCGTGGGGGTAGGGAGCGCATGTTACAAACGTCTCGTTCGTGTCGCTGGTGGTGAAGGAGTGCAGGTCGGAGAAGATGGCCTCGGGAATAGCCAGAGTGATGGACAGCAGCCAGATCGTAGCCACACGGAGACTGATGCTCAGTGTGGCCTTGGATCTGTTGATGTCCAGGGGTTTGACAATTGCTTTGTACCTGAGAAAAGAAGAAAACATCTTTACAGTAAAGATGTTATGATAACTATGGTAAGGTTCATATATCAGCCGCTTGGTTTTATCCTAAATCAATTTAAAAGATGAATTATTTACCTTTTCAATGATCAAGATACAGATTTGTGAGATGAAAGAAGCAAGAAGATATCTGAACATCATTTAGGATAAAGATTTATTTGTAAGTAGTTGAAAATTGACCCTTCGCCTGAACATAAGGATCTATCATTGATATCAGCAATAATGTTAAATGGCCTCATGAAAATACAGAGATGATTATTCAAGTAAAAGAAAAATACAAAACATGCCACGTTCGAATACTTAGATTATCCAAAGGTAGGAAAAAGTCTTCCAAGTGTCAGAAGAACTACTAATACCTGTCAGCTCTCAGTGCCAGAACCACCACAATAAAACATTTGCGGTTGAAGCGTTGCACAGATTCGGATTCATTCTGCACTAATAGGTGGTTTTGCTTCAGACAGCAGTTCTGTATGCCAAAGCTCCATGAGACAGCGAATGTCTCACGTCTCACCGTGGATGAATAAGTTCATCGCTTTGGATCACTTACAGATGCACCCATAAAGGAATGGATGCTGCGATGAGAACGTGTCCAAGGTGTATGGAGGAACAACAAAACAAAAATCTACGGACTTGATTTGATTGAATTTATTCTGTTAAATGCCTTCAAGACCACTTTCAGCTGGATCTGTATTAATAAATTGATTTAAAATGAACTGAATTGAAAAATTGCAGTAACTTTAACAGAGAATAGTACTTCAGCTTAGTTAGAGCTTGCCCTTTTGAAAGACATTTGGTTTTAGTTGTATCTTACCTAATATCTATTTTATTTGACTAAAACATTGTCTTTTACCAAAGATATTTACTAATTGATCTGAATAACCTTTTGTTCTCTGTAGCCAGTGGTGAGTATTTTTATAGTTCCTTAGTATTTCTGTTTGCCTGATCCTGACCTGTTCTGCCTCTCAACAACTAAGCCTTCCTGTTTTCTTCTGAGCGGTTTGCCTGAACCGTCTTTGAACTCCTGGACCTCTGAGCCTGCACGTTCCTGTTCTGATCTTTTTGCCTGACCTGGCTTTGGACTCCTGGACCTGCAGCATCAGGGACACTCATAGTGTCTTGTTGTTGGCAGCCCAACGGCTGGATCCTACCTTGTTCTCTGGGCACAGACTGAACTTGGTTAGTGACTCACGTTCATAATCATCCTCTGTCAGATTATCGTGGTCAAAACCTGTGTTTCTCTCATGCAGAGTTTCCTGCCTTAGACGGTTTAGCAACTGCAGATCTGCAGCCATTTTATTATTAATGCTTTTGGTATGTTCCCACTGTCTGTCTTGCCTTAAATACTGGGTCCTCTGTTCTGAGTTGTGACACAGTTATTGTTAAAGCGGAGTTCTGATTCCCTTGTTGTAGGTAAAAAGTTTGTCCAAACTCCAAAATAAGTCACCTTAGTCTGCCTTTATGTCTATGTCAGTTTTACTCAGTTCACTTTTTTTTTTTAACTCTTTTATCCTGTTATTTTTAGTTGACCTCTTAATGGACTCATTGATTTTATTTTGAACCTTTGTCATTTTTGGGGGAGTTGAAATAAAACCCAGTAAGGTAGTTCTGGTAGGTAGAATCAGCATTCAGCTTTTCACATTCTATACCTGCAGCCCTCACAACTTAATGTGTTCTTTAGATTAGCTTAATAAAATGGCCGTTAATGTTGCACCTGCATCCAAGCCTTGCATCTCTGAACACAAAGCAAAGCATCTGATTCAGCAGTGTAAAGTACTATGAGGTCATATCTGAGATGTTGTTGTAAACTACAGCTTAAATGGGTCTTCAACAGAGCCAGAGGTGGAGAGAGATTTCCTGAACTCAACTATAACAACCCAAATTCAGCATGAACCTGGTATTTCTCTACCAAGCGTAAAGGGAGCAGATTATAGGGTGTAGAAGCTAACATTTAAGCAGACAACAATGCAGAGAAAATCAAAGCAAGCTTTGAATCAAAGCAGCAGTAGGCCATCTAAACTACATGTGGAGATCATCAGATAAACACGAATGCGCTTAAATATCCAGTCCAAACACATCTACCCAGCTCTGTTTGATATCTGAGCTGTTTTCTTCCAAAAGCAATAAATGTCAAAAAATAAATCTGAAAACACTAAAAGCTCCTGACACATTATTGACATTTATCTCCATTAAAAGCTTTATCTGTACTGCCTTTGTCTACTGTAGCAGAGCCATTTGTTAATTACATATCTAAGCTCCAACAATCCATCTCTGCACTTGATACTTCAAAGTTTCAGCAAACATTATTTTTTCATACTTATATTTTATATAAACGAGCACACAATGTTTTTCTCCCTCTTTGTCAATGATTGCTGTATTTTTGAATCAAAGAATCCAAACCTAAACTTTCTGAAGGGAAAATAAAAGTGTGGATTTTTTTTTTGTAACTTCAGATTTTGGTGTTGATTAAAACTACCTTGACAGTCACTTTTTGAAGGGGATTACTATTGCAACATCGGTTTAAAATTGCATCGGTAAAGGAAAATTGCATGTATTTTTTGCTCTGAATGAAATATTTTCTAAACATTATTAATTGCTTTGGGTTTTTTTTTTAATAAAACTTTTATCCCCCCCAGAAAAAATTCCAAACTGGTTAGCAGGCTGCTCAGTTTAGAGCTGAGTTGGTAAACATCTCTTTTTCAAACGGGCTAAAACAATATCTGTGTTGTTGATATGAGTTATAAGCATTACTGGTGCTAACTTGGATTGGGGGAATAGAAACATCTGAAAATAAATAAATAAATAAATAAATAAATAAATAAATAAATAAATAAATAAATAAATAAATAAATAAATAAATAAAACCAAACAAATTAAAAACATGATTTCTTAATGTATCTAAAGAATCTGGGTTAACATTCCCATTTAGCTGAAATGTTTTTTTGTTTTTTGTCTTTTTCAAATAACCTGGACTGTACTGCTTTCCCACTTCCGTCAGGAGAACAACATATGGACATTAAATCCGATGCAAATAGACTTAAAACTGCTTGTTTTCTAAAGCTGTGAAAGCAATCATCCTCCTGCAGACAAGCACTCATGTCCCACCTCACCTTAATGAACATATTTACATTAAAGCCAAAGGAAAACAGTAATAGACTGCATAGACAGGTCAAACCTAGATTAGACCACAGATTTTATTTCAATATCTGGTTTAATTTATGAGCCGATTAAGAAGAAAAAAGCAAAATGCAATCCATTTTATTGTGAAAAACCAAAGTAAAATCTCTCTACATTTATTTTGGATGCGCAGAGGAAACATTCATCCAGGACCTTTACACTCTATAGTAGTCTGGAGGCTGGAGCGCTAATCAAACAGCTGGTTAGTGAACAAAAAAAAAAAGAATTTTCCAACTGTCCATTAGACAAAAAGAAATATTACTGAATAAACTACAAGTTTACATAAGTATCAATTTTAATCTATGTGGTTATATAGACATTTTACTCAAAGCCTGTCTGTCTGTCTGTCTGTCTGTCTGTCAGATGTTCTTAAATGCATCTTAAAGGAAAAGTCTGGTCATATTTAGAATTCAAAATACTGAAAGTACTTTAAATATGAAATTATTACATACTGTTCAATAAATGATAAGTATTTTTAATTAAGATGCAATTATCCAAGTCATCTTAAAAGCAATCTTTGAAATGTTGGCTACATATTACGTGTTTTTTCTCTGGCCAGAAGTTTGATGGCAAATCCTCCCTCTTCAAGTTGGCAATCCAACGATGAACCCCTCCTTGGAGGATCATGAGTCGGAAAGGTGAAATAACTTTTTTTTTTCACTTTTACCCGAGTTATTACAAAATCCAACTGCCAAGCACGTGAGCATTAACAGTTTAACTATAGCTATTGTGAATTTCAGGGTGAAGTCCTCTCTAAATCTTAAATAATTGTTGTTGATTGCAGGTGTGTCTAGTAGTTCCCTTTGATTTTGCATGTAAAGCGGGGAGAATAGCCTTCAACTTACCGCATCGTGACGTCACTGCCTTAAAATATCAAGAGTGAAGTGTTATTATATTTTGACAAAAATGGCCGGACCTGGACTCAGTGATCATAAAGAAAATTATTGTTTTCGTTTTTTTTACTGACTAACGCTAAATTCATTAAATCACTGCAAACGTATTAGTTTTAGGTATAGATAATGACCCAATGATTATTCCTAGCCGAACGGACTTTCTCTTTAACAGTTCACTTCATCAATACAAAAGGTTTTATCATTGTTGATTGCCTCTTATGCTATTCAAGTTTTCCACCTGTCACAACATGCTAATTAAAAAAGGCTTGATACAAAGTGAATGACGTTTTTAACAGGGCTTCCTTGGGCAAAAAACTTTTTTATTGTTATAATAAACTAAATTTTACTGCTTTCTATTTTAAAATAGTTGAGTTTTTAATACCGTTAGATCTTATTAAGATCTTATTATTAGTTTGATCTGATTTTCTTTTTTCTGGATAAAAGTTGTGGCCTGTTGTCACTAATGATTTCTCCCAGTGCTCCCAGAGCAAATTAATTAACCTCAGCAAAATGTATCCAAAACAGTGAAGGCAATGACAATTAAATGGGTTGAATGAATTATCGTTGGACCGGTCGGAAGCAAGGGAAACACAAAAGACAAGACTGACCCCTTTAATTATGTGAAACTTTGAACAAAACAAAGTTTAATGTGAATATTTTTCTTGTCAAATATGTTATCAAACATTTTTTTCTACCGAACAAAATCAAAACTTCACCAGTAGATCTTCTTGAGAATCTTCATCAGCATACTAACCCGTAGAGCTGCAATCAGTGAGGACTGTATATCTGAGGCAGGTTTTCTGCTTTAAACTAGCTTTCCCTGATTTAGAGTACTCTACATAGCTGGCCCCTTTTTCTCTAAAATGGTTGAGGGTAGTTCCAGTATTTTAATAATAGTTTTGGGGGGTTCTATATGTTTTAATAAGGTTTCAGTGAAATCATTCTTATCTTAAATAACTTGCTATAGGTTACTTTTGAGTAACTATAGCCATCTGCCAGGAACTGCAGATGAAATCTGTGAAATCTGTCGTGGTTTTGGTTCTGTTAAAGTTTTGTCTCTGAGTTTTTAAAGATAAAACCTAAAGAGTTTTCAATGGTTTTATTTCCATTTTGTGTTATTCTAGTTATTTTCTAATATATATGAGCTTTTAGGTATTTCTTGTTTGATCATTGTTGCCCTCTTGTGTCAGTCTCCTTCCCCTGGCTCCCTTCTAGACTTCTCTGTCCACAACTGCTCCCAGTCTGCTGATTAGCCTGGTCCTTGTCACTTTCTCCCATATATACCGGTACACCTCCTGCTCAATCACTGTTTGCTTGTTCATCGTCATTTCTTTGCCCTTGTTGTGAGTGTTCCTGGTTTTGTTGATTTTTTTAATCTATGTTTTTGGATTTTTGCTTCTGTTTCCCTTTTTGGTTAATTAAATCTAGCAAGAAAGCACCTCAGCTTCAGTCTCTGCATTTGGATCATTCAAACCTCCACTAAACCTGACAGAAATCTGCAAACATATTGTGGGACCAAGGAGGAAGGTTCTGAGGGTAGCTGTCTATTCAATGCTGCTGTTTTATATACACCATAGCATGCGTGCATTAAGATAATGAAGGAACAAACCTTATCAAGTTACGACAAAAAAATCTCTTATAAGCGTTTTCGGATTTTGTAATTTTTTTAAACTCTGGCATCTGTTTATTTTTCATTATCCTGTAAAGCACTTTTATTTTATTACCATATCAAGTTCTTTATACATATTTTTTCAATGCATTTATTTGATGCACTTTTTTTTCTCTGTAATATAGGGAATGTTCAATCAGTATACTGTAACAAGCCAGATTTAATGTTTAAGCAACAGCAATCTTTCCACCTGAAGTAGCAATTCTTGTCAATGGTAAATTTCTCTACCAAAATTACAGATCAAAAGTCTTCATTTTTTCTTGTATCTGGCTCTGAGATTAAATTATACTATGATTACGTGGCCACAGTGAGCCAATCACTTAAATTGTTTTTAAATTATTTCAGTTACATTTCATGAGACTGAAAAACAAATTCTCACAAATTATTTTTGTATATACTGCTACTTGGAAGCATAAACTGTGACATATAGTTTGAGTTGTATTGATCATTATTAACTGATAATTAAAAATGAAATCAACTCATTAGGTTTTTGAACAGTTGCTTAATAGAGTAGGCCTCTTTAGCCTCCAAAAAATAAAGCAAAAACATAAAAAAATCAGAACAATAATTAACCCAAAACTGTTAAAACAAACCAACAAAAAGGCTTTGTCTTTAAATAAGCTCCATACATAACTGTGGCATTTAGTTATTTTTTATTTTATTTTTTTTTTAGATTTAATCTATCCTTTTTTTTTTTTTTTAGATATACGTCGTTTTATCAAAAAGTTTTTTGATAACACTTTTTATTGATGTTTTTTTTTTTTTTTTATCATTCTTGTTTTGGATAAATCCAATAATGGAAAAACACTTTATAGATTTATTAACCCTTTAAAGCCTGAACCACGAAATAATAGACTGAAGATTCTAATTTTCCAAAATTAGAATTCTCATTGAACTTTCTGACGAATGAAACAACACTATAAGTTTCATATACATTAAACTACATAATTAATTTGTATCAATTTTGATACATTACACATTTCTTTATCATCTTTTATATGTTTTCTGTTCACTACATGTGTCTGATTATGTAAGTCAGGGTTTCAAGAACAAAAGCATCACAATGATGATACAGAGGTTTCAAAACTCGGGTAAAGGGTTAAAACAACTGGAAGCTGCAGATTTAATGAAAGTTTATAAAATCCTTAAGTTGATTTAGTAATATTTTGAGTGCACCCATAGCACCATATCTAGGCTTACCTAAATCTGAGATGATTTTGCTCTAGATTGTGTTTTTTTTTTAATGCCAAACCAACATTATTATCCAACCCAAAACTTTCAAGGGGCGCCTCTGCACTCCGGGAGCATCAATATTTGATGTTTAGGAATTAAACATTGCTGCATTATTGAAGAAGAAAATTTTAAACACCGCAATTTATCATAAATAAATCATAAACGGTCAGACAGATATTAAAGCAGCTCCAGTCAGGTTTACCGGTCAGCAGAGAGCGCAGTCAGGGTGAAAACGGAGACCCCGACCGAGGTGAGCTGGATGAAGGGGATCAGCTTGCAGCCCACGCGCCCGAACAGCCATTCGTCCACTAGATAGCGGCTGGCATCAACAGGGGCGCAGGTCACCAGCAGCAACAGGTCCCCCAGAGCTAGGCTGGACAGGAACAGGTTGGGCACCGTGCGCATGGACTTCACCAGCAGACACGTCTTCATCAGCGTGACATTTCCGACCAGACCCACGAGGATGATCATCCCGTAGACGGCAGCGATCCCGATGCCCGGGAGCCAGACTGCGTACTGGTGCCGCTCCGCGCCGGAGTCCACCATCACCTTGGAGACATTTAGGAGCAAAGCTCTGCTGTCCTCTAACGCAGGAATGAACTGGTCCTCCATCTGGAGCAGAGGACACCGACTGCTGAGTGCTGATGGTTTTCTGGCAGCTATATAAATTGTCTGCCCACCTACAGGGTCGTGCGTCACCGGAGCACAAGATGAATCCTGAAGAATTGGAGCTAAGAGGTCTCAATAAGGTGTCAGTAGATTTAGATAAACTTGCATCACATTCTTCTCAAAACAACAGAAAAGGCTAAGACTGAATTAGAAGTTGGAATCAAGAAAGGGAGAGGATTGTATTGTTACAGTGGACTTCTTTAATGACCTGTAAGGAGTTTAACAGTGAAATTAGGGTTGAAAACAGTAGATATAGCTAATTTATACCTATGATTTTTTAATGTTTAGCTCTATACACATACTTTTACAGTGCAGATATAAGCATAATTCTTAATTAAAAACAATATGTCTAAAAATTAATAACAGAAGGAAACCAAGAGCACAGCTTAGAGTACCCAAAAATGGGTTAAATGAGCATCAATTCCTGCATCAAAGGCCAACAAAATTATGATAGTGAAATATGCAAGTTGTAAAGTTAGATAATAACAGAAAAATCTATGAGTTGAGAGAAGAAAGTCAGCAGATGTGTTCACTGACAGCAGAAAAGTCATTTTTTGATAATTATTGCCAGTGGCATATGAAGGATTAAAATTTTGCTCCACTTCTAACTGATATTGAATTCCTATTTCACTAAAAAAGTGCCCGGAGAATATTTTATTCGCTTTTAACTTAACCACCCAAGCAGTGGTTAAGTGAAGAAAGTGCTGAAAGTCTCCCTTATTCATGGATGTCAGCATAAATATATATATATATATATATAATATTATATTTTTTTATATATTATATATATTTTTTTTGTTTCGCCCTATATTTGGTCACTTTGTTCACCTAAAAACAAATATTTCTTCTAAGAAAAGTATTAAGAACAGAGAAACTGTATTTGAGTCCAGGGAATCCTCTTCTCTTGAACTATTATTCTACAAAGCTCGGACAGTTTTCTTATTTGTCTGAGCTTAGTAAAAAAAAGCTCTACCTTCTCTGTGTGTCCAGGCATGAACACATAGCTGTGCTATACTGTCATAATTGGTAATATAAAATAAAAGTGAGAACACAATATCGCTGGATATTTCAAATTGTTTTGCACTTTCTAACATTTTTGCTAGTTTGCCCTTAAAAGATAATCAGATTTTTATAGCTTGAAAACTGAAAGCTGTTTTTAATCTTGAGTCAAGACTATTTTTGTGTTTTTTACCGTAATAGAATATTTTGGAGACTCGGTATCAAAATGAACATACATTACAGAGCCTTAAGTTAAAAATATTTGTACAATAGGATGAAGAATGGGCATCCTTGGAGGAGGCTTAGTGTAAAAAACAAGAACATGAAGTGTGGCATTTAGTAATTGCATAAAATGCAACTTGTTCTGAAACGTGAACGGAGGTTCCTATGATATTCAACAGGGATTTTTATCGTCTGCCTAAGCTGCTGATGGGTCTATTAGTTTTGATGCAATGTCCCTGAATCGTTTTCCAGCTGAAAGTAGGACAAGTTGTGCATAGCTGAGGTGGGTGGGATCTGCAGTACGGTGTCGACCATTTTCTGGGGTCATACAACATGCCAAAGGCATCCCACAATACTTTCTGCTGAACTCACAACCTAAGCTAATACATTCCTCTCTTTTTCAGCCGTGTGTCTCTCTTGCGATTCACTTTTACAGTGATGCTTTACATTGTGCTCTCCTCCTATTAAATTGAAAAAAAAAAAAAAAAAACTTTGGCAAACTTTATAAATTTATATGCAACCAAAAAGAAAAAAAAAACACCAAAAAATAACATAAAATAAAATAAAGACAGGCTTAAGCCTCTGTGTCAAATGGAATCTGGACACAGCTGAACTAATGAGAGTTTACTAAAATGAAAGCAACCTACCAAGATAGGGCGGCTGCATGGAGAGGACCTCTCCAAAGAAAGACAGAGGAAAGAAATTCTGAATATAAAATACTTAAGTGGACACTATGAAGTAATAGGGAAGCATTACATTTTTCCAATGTGATATTTGACTTTGATTTCCAGTTCATAAGAATAAATGTATACTCCATGAGTAAGATTCTGCTTGGCTTTTGAAAAAAAAAAAAAAAAATGCTGTGTTTTAAGAGCACTGTGTGCAGCTCGGTAATCCTGGGGCACAGGTTCAGCTCTGTGACACTGACTAAACACGTGACACTGACAGAAAGTCCCATCCGTTTTAGCTTCCTGAGAAAAAAGGAGTGTTTGATGGGATTTCTTCACCAAGTGGGAGGTGTTCTCAGTCTGGGAGAGGTCAGAGGAATTTTGAATGCCCAGGAACTTTATGCTGTCATCACTAGCTCCCTCTGTATTCATTTCAGTTAAGTTAATTGATAATTAACTGATTGATTAAAAAATTACTTCAGTGAGATAAGAACATGTTAGCTCCAGGATCAAGCATTAGGTTTGAACCAGTGCATAGATTTAGAGAGGTGTCAAACTTTAGATGCAATATGTCTGGTGACACTGTGCAGCTTTTTGCCGCATCTTGTAACACACAGGTGTTCACATTCTCACAAAGCAAACCAGGATTACACACATTTCCGTTACAGATGAAAAGGAACTCCTCAAATGCAATAAACGTATAGCATTCTCTATGATCAGCCAGAAAGAAAAAAATCCCAAAGGTTTTGGGAAGAAAAGCTGTTTAACAAGAATGCTTTGAGTGTAGGCCTACTTAACATTTCTCTGATACAGAACTTCAGGCAATCTACACCTGCATAATAATTGCATGATCATAGGAAGCTTGTGCCTATTTGCAGTATTCATTTAATAGGAAGGAATGCAAATCTGGACAGCTCACCAGTCCATCACTCTGTGAGGACGCAAGGGTACCTGGAGAAACCATAAAGAAAGGCCCTTGCCAGGATGCAAGCACAGGGTTTTTCGCAGTAATCTGAGCTTTAGTCATGGAGCTTAGCTCCAGAACTAAACAAAACAGAAACTAAATCAGAGAAAATCTGAGAAAGAGATGGCACTCCATTTATCTCTGGACGGAATGAACATATGTAGCCTAAATTGAAATAATTTATAATCCATTAATAGTAAGTATGTGAGTGGGACAAAAATTATATTAAGTTGTTGAGAAATTGTCAATATTTTTACATGGATATATTTTCTATATTAACTGAAACATCCATTCAGGGGCATTTACTCTTTAGCACAAGAGAACATTACCATAATTCTTTGTATTGCAAAAAACAGATCTTATAAAATCAGTGTTTTGACTTAAATTCACTATTTGAAGGCCTTCTGACAAACTTCCTGAAGCCCCTTGACCCCAAAATGCAGAAAGTACCAATATCTGCATGTACATCAGCAACATGCATGGCGTGACTGATGACCTCATTATTTTTCTACTAATCTACTAGATTTACATGTAACTTCTTATCTGAGGGGGGAAGCGATTTCTACCGACATAGTGAGCAATTCGATTTGCACTATTATTTTAAGAATGATGTATAATAAGTAAAGAAATGCAAACTTAGAGTAATAAATAGAGCAAATGAATGAATGCAACCATAACCTGGAAAATTAATCTTCTACCGTCATGTTTTTTTTAGCTGTTGTTTTTTAATGCATCTGCAGAAGAATTTCATGTTTCTTTGCCTTCTGTCTCCATGTCTAGTTTACTGTTTTCTTATTTTAAGTTAACTTGACTTTTTTTCATTAACAGAATCCTATTATGCCTCACATAGTACGTCATCTGAGTCTACTCTGAGACAAAGATATGAAAATTTCTACATTTAGTAACTGGCTCTGTGACCCGTTTAAAGTGCAAGGTTATGCTCCATCCCCAGAGACTCTGAACTGCATAAAGTGGGTTTGAAAAATTTATGCAGGGTTTTAACCACTCAGTTTATCTTAAAATACAAACATCCATATGCAAGAAATCAGTTTTGCTAGAACTGTCTTCTTTTTTTTGTGGCTTTCCTATGAAACAATTTTAGAAATAAATATCTAATATAAACCAAAATCTTCACTTGATCTGATTATCTTACTAAGTTGAAATTGAGGCCTGATAACAAAACATCCTTGCTGCAATGGGGGGAATTTAAAGGATATAATTTGGATCCTTGCCTTTATTCTCCTCTCCAACAGGTGTCATGACATTTTGCCTGCTAGTTGTTGTCGTTTTCTATCAAATCAGGTTGACACTTTAAAGGATGTCCAGAAGACTTGGCAAAGTCAAGCCTCCAGAAACCTCATATTAGCTGCAGCACTGCTTCAGAGATCCTATTTTTCCCATTGCAAAAATAAAACAGAACACACAGTGATTGGATGGGGACTTCTGTTAAGTATTTCTATGCAGATTTTTGAAAATGCAAAGCATCTAAAAGGAATCCATTTCTCAGGAATCCATCACTGTCTATATACCTATACTATGACTGTATCCATACTGCATTCTAAACGCTAATGGGAATTTTATTTGGGCTCCTACACCTCACCAACATAAAAGATAGGTTTAAATTAGTGGGCTAACTGTTGTCTGCAGCATCAAACAGAACGCTAGTCCTATAGTTAAAAAAATCCTATAAAAAACATTACAAAATAACTGTCATCATTTATAGATCTATCTAATTGTGATAAGAAAATATACTCAAATGATTGTTAAAATACTTGAATGAAAATTTATTTATTTTTAAGGTTGTTTGAAAAAAACACGATTGAATGTGTAGGTTTTCTGTTTATGATGGCAGAAAAAATGTGTTCAGACTCACCAGTTGCATATTTACTGCAGAGGTAAGAAGGCCATCTGCCCTATTGTTTTATCTTATATGTGGACTCATCGAGCACTGTTGAGATGCTGTTGCTCTCACCAGACTGTCATCATTATGTTCTGGCATCACCTCTCTACCAACTGCAGAACAGTGACTCATTCTCCTTATTGCAATGATTCACAGTTCATTGCTGTTTTTCATTTACTTCATTCGAACCTCTTTACTCTAGCTTAGA